TATAAAAAAGGAATGTCTACTTATAGTAAATCATCTGGTCTTATGTCTCGTGTACTCTCAGTTACGTCTTACGTAAGTTACGTAACGTTACGTAATATCTTATAAATTTAATAATGCAAAACTTTATAAAGCTCTAAATTGGAGTGACAGTGCTTCATACGCTACAACGCTGAAATTATAGCTAAGGAAAGAATAGTCAAAGTATTGTGGCATTTGTACAAAATAAAATCTCGACATAATAACAAATTATACATATTAATTAAAGAATATTTACTTCAACAACTTGAATTTTTATGATCAAACATCTTCTCTAAATTAACGATGATTTTAATAAAGTGAATTGAAAATAAAATTTAAGTGAATGCAGCTAAATTTTAGAATCAATTGGATAAAACAAATGTTTTATTTATAATTATAATTAATAAATTCAAGGTGTTAATGCTTTCCTTTATATTTTTGTCTTTTCTTTCTGTGTGAATATCCGTTCTAGGAACTATATCTCATTTTGGCACAGCATAACTCATAATTTTGCCCGTAAGAAGATATTTGAAATATCCTTTAGAAATGTAATATATTGCCAAAATGTAACTTAACTCTAACGTGAAACAATTTTGTCTTTGTATTAAGTTTAGTCGACAGTTACATTAGAATAGCTACAACAAAATTGAAAAGCATCAGGCAAGACAACAAGAGCATTAAACGACAAGAGCTTAAGTGACACTATTAGCCGTATTCGTGTTACTTTTACTATGGTATTTAATATCTGGATATTTTAAAGACCATTCTGCTTTTACGAAAAAAATATCACTTATATCACTAGTAAATCTTATGGTTTTCTAACTCGAATACTGCTATCATAAGGTACGTTACATATCGGACATCGGTTAGCTTCTAAACGTTCGATGCATTCCAAACAACAAGCGAGATGGCCACAGGGTATGAAAATGTGTGTGCGCTCGTTAGTATAACACACTGTACAAATGTCTTGAGTTGTTTCTTTTGATGTACTTTGACTGTCCTGCCCAGACCAATCCACAGTGTGAAATGGAGAATTTTCTGTACGGGCACTGCTTTCATTGGTGTTTGTGGACGAATACCAATATCCGTAGTCATCATCCGGAGCCTCATATATTGACTCATCTGTACAAAATAAAAAAAAGAAAGGTAAGAATACTACTTATGTACGATAGAGATTAACTTAAATTTCTGTCTTAAATAGCTTGAATTGTAAAGTTATTACTTTTTGTTATTATTATTATATCACCTTGCGTATCTACGAATTCAGTCTCTGAATCAGAAACAATGTCGATTATTCCTTGATGTTCCTCATGTTGTGTCCTTTGCAAGCTTGGATTATCAGTTTGTGGCACTTGTATTCTCGGATATGTAACTGTTGTTCCTTGTATATTGGAAGAATTTTCTCTCTGTTGGTCTGAAAATAAAATATTTTTAAAATTTAAAAACAATTTTTAAAATATTAAAATATTTATAAAATATTAAAAAAATGATCAAAACAAATACATGCGCCTATACGCCATAGACATATAAGATAAACTCCACATCAACTGGATTTTTCGGTGGAAGGGGCGTCCATGCCATATTGTATAAGAGAGAAAGAGAGAGAAAGTAGTAAGTTACCTGTCCTTCACTTACTGTCCTTCTTTTACTTACTGCGCACTACATTGCTCATCCGATCTGCGCAGAGGACAAGAAACTTGCTATTTTCTGTCTCGCAATGGCATGGACGCGTATATATAGCTAATGAAGTCTATCTGGAGTCTATCTTATATGGCTATGATATACATACACACGTATGCACACACACAATATATACAACGTCGTTAGCATTAAATAAATAAAGTTAAAAGGTATTAAAATTTTTTAAATCGATTTTCTGAAGTTAAATTACCTTGCGTATTTGTAAAATCAGTTTCCGAATCAGAAATAATATCGATTATCCGAGATTCCTCATGTTGTGTACTTTCCAAATTTGAAATGTCAATTTGCAACGTTTGTGCTGTGGCATATACTTCTGTTCTCTCTGCATCAGAAAAATTTTCTCTATCTTGATCTGAAAATAAAAAATGTTTACATGTTTAATTAAATATTATATTTAATATATATATAAAATAATATAAAGCATCATTAGCATCATGATGAAAGTATTTGAAATATTCTAATTAAAAATATATAATAAAAACTTAAAATATGACAAATCTTTTGTTACCTGCATTTCTTCTGGATGCACGGTTTTCCTCGCTTTGACTAGGTAAATTTGTATGTACACGTCGAGATCTTCTGCGAATAACGTTATTTTTCCTTCCTATAACAAAAAAAAATTCATAAAAATGGAAAGTAATTGGAGTTAATTTTTTTAAATAATTTCTTGAAGTATTAAAAATTAATCATAAATAAAGTTTTTATTGTAAAATTATCATATACATAAAAAAATTTTGTAATTTGCTTTAATGAATTTTTATTAATATTGTGATAAAATTAAAAACATGTAAGATTTAACAGATGAAAATCTTTAATCATAAAAAATTAAAGAGATTAGGAATAAAATTGGTTCCAAATTTTAAAGAACTAATACACATAAATAAATTTATACATAAAAAAGAAAATATAAAGAAATAACAT